GGTATCTGAACCCCTCCAGGGCTGGGGACTCCAGCACCTCCCTGGGCAGCCTGGGCCAATCCCTCACCACTCTGCCAGGAAAGAAAGATCTTCCTCATATCCATGCCCATGATGCCCATGGTGCCGATGGGCAGCACCATTTCTGGGGTGCATGTGACCTCTTTGGGGGTGTCACTGGTGACTGTTCCACGCCACTGCCACCCCTGCACCACATCCCCCAGGTGAGGCTCCGTCGGGGCTGTCGGCAGCCCTCTGGAATATTTCCTCCAACACTGGGAATTTAGTTTGTGTGTGAGAAGTAAATCAGCATCAATTAACCCCCGGAGCCGTCCTCCTGTAGCCGTCTGAGCCTCGTTACTGGCCCTGTGGCCACTTCCTCCTTCCCCAGTGTGCAGATATCCCCCTGGTAACAGGCTCATTAACTGGCTGCCCCAGCAGCCCGGCCAGACCCTGGTGCCCCCCGGCTCCTGGGCAGGGGGCTGGGGGTTTGTGGTTTTGCCCGGTGAGGTGGGGACAGCAGGGAGGGGTGGCAGCTTAGGGACAGTGGTGTGGGGACAGCGGGCAGGGGCAGGGGTGTGGCAGGGACAGGAGCAGGGCAGTGGGACCCCCTCATGTGTTCTCCCCAGCTCTTGCCAGGACCTTGTGCAGTCCTGCTCTTGCCTGAGGTGCTCGCTTCCCCCACCCTGGGCTCTCCTCGGGGCACTCGGGGGGATGTCCACCCCCCCTGCACCCCGAGACCCATCCCAAGGCTGGAGGGACATGCTGCTGGGGTGCTGCTGGTGGTGGGGATCAGCAGGGTGCCCCACATCCTGCCAAGGGCACTTCTGTGCCCAGCTCCTGGTCCATCAGCACCCTGCCACTGTGCTGAGCACGGCCTGGTCTGTCTGACAGGTCTGTCCTGTCTAAAGGACATGGGAACACTCCCAGCTCAGCATCATCATCATCACCATCCCACCCACCACCATCATCATCATCATCCCCATCATCATCATCATCATCGCTGCCAGATGCAAATTGATAGTCAAGTCACTCATCCAAACAATGGGTCCGGCTAATCCTTTTACAATGGGACTAATTGCTAATCAGACCGATTTCACACTGCCTGTTCCCCTGACAATGAGGCTCCGTGGAGAAGAGCTCCTAGGGGGGGGGGGGAGGAGGCTCCGTGGGTGCCCACGT